AAATAAAGTACCGTGCCCACACGTTCCGATAAAAAAGATACAGCATAGTCACAAGACGGAGAGGTTTTATATCACCAACAATGCGGAACAAGCGAGAGATAGAGTTTCCTCTCAGAAGAAGAAAATACGAAACCATACACAATTGTACACAACACCAGTGCGCAAAAACTCAACCGTGGAGCACCAGTTTCAACGCTCAAAAGCATCAACCAACATGTTCAATGCACTCCCGATGTTTCAGACGTCTATTGCGCTTCTCGACAATAGAACCCCCCCCCGATCAAATACACCGAAAGTGGGACCCCCTTCGCCTAATCTTCCCTCCACAAGCCCCCCTTCCCCTCCCGGTTACACGTCCCCAGAGAAGGCGAAAAAAAAAGCGCGCCACGCAGGCGGCGTGATACATGGCTTCCCCCGACATGCCGGGCAGATCGGAAACACAGGCAGGTGTCTCACGGCCAAGCTGTTTGCTCCGCGCAGCGACCTCACCCGCCGAGCTGTCGCTGAATACAGGAGTGTTGAGGAGTGTTGAGGAGTGTTGAGAAGTGTTGACGAGTGTTGCGGAGTGTTGACGAGTGTTGATGAGTGTTGATGAGTGTTGATGAGTGTTGAGGGTGCCGCCACGACAAAGGAAAAAAAAACGACGGCACCGACGGCGGGGGCTGCCGTTCGACCACCAGCAAAGGGAGGAGGGGGGGAGCGAACCAATTTGCGGTTACATCGCTGACCGCTTTCATTATCCTATCCGCGGTTCCTCCCCCATGAGGCCTGCGGCATCAACAACCGCCTCTTCTTCTTGTTCTTCCGCCTCCTCGTCCCCTTCCCTCTCGATCAGCAGGGCGCTCCCCCCCACCGGGCCTCCTCCTCCTCCTCCTCGTCCTCGTCCTCCTCTTCCCCTCCCGCCTGCTACCGCCGCTGCCGCTCCTACTTGGACGGGCTGGCGGTGCCGGCGGCCACTCCCGCCCCGGTGCCGCTTACCCAGGAGCCTCATGGCAAGCATCGTGGCCGCAACACGGACTGCCGACACCGCTCGCGGAGCTCCGATCTCCAACGCCAGGTCCGACGCCCCCATCATCCAGAGGCCCAGCAACGCCGGGGTGGACCCCGACCGTCGGTAGAGCTCGCGCGCCAGAGCCGGGTCGGCCTCAACGCCCACCCCGTGCTGTTGCGTGTGGCGCCCGGTGGGCGGCGAACGAAAAACATACAAACGGTGGGGAGGGGGGTTACTTGCCAGCGGCGAGGCGGGGTGGCGGAGAGATTGACAAGTCACACGCGAACGAACGGAGGGGGGTTCACAAACACGACATATTGCTGGTGTTGAGACCAACCACCCTGCGTATGTACGGTCGTCGTTTGTTGGGCATCAAGTTCTACGGGGAGCAAAGACGGAGAAGGAGAGTGGTTGGATCGGGTTGGGTTGTTGTAGATGGACCCGTCCCGCGTCTCTTGCGGTATACCGTGTTTCCCGGCAACGGAGTCATCCGGGAAACTTTCGAGGTGGTCTTGGGATGGAGGAGGACCAAATGGGCCTTCAGCACGACCCCCGCCGACGCAAAACACCCCCCAGAAACTTGACCATGGCCTCAACACATGGACCACATGCCGGTAAAACCACCCAGCACCAAGGAGAGACGGGATTGCCCAACACAAGGGCCATAAAGCACCCGACGACTGGAGCAAGGCACCCACCACCAAACGCAACATAAAAATAGCTGAGTAAAGCAATGAAAAAAGTGAAAAAAAAAACTATTTAGCTTAAAAAACAAACAATTCAACGCGGTGATGGTCGTGAGTGAAGGAATGACAACACAACTAACCT